TTCTTCCTATTTCGAGTTTGACTGCCTAATCGATGTATTTTTGGTTTTGTGCTAATTGATTTGCACATGCTGAATTCAAATCCTCAGATCGATTTAGTGTTGGTTTTGTGCTATTTGATTTGCATACGCTGAATTCAAATCCTCGAATATTTATCTGTTATATTCTTCAATGTAGGATCTCGATCTTAGGAAACCAGGAGTTTGGAAGCCTAGTAAACGAGCTGAGTTCCAAGTAACTACAGAGGAGGTTCTCAAGAAAGCAGATTTTCGGGTAAGCATGTGATGGCCTTCAGTATACTTAAGTTTGTTTCATTTAAAGGAATCTGTATTTTTTTTTGCTGGTTGAACTTTTCTCTTCAAACCTTGAATTGAACTGGTGGTAGATGTCATGTCTCAGCAACATATGTGATTAAATTGTGCAGAATGTAAGATTCCTTGCCAACTTTTTGACTGAAGCTGGAATACTTAACAAGAGGAGCAAGGTAATGTTTCATCTCAATTTTGACAAGTTTTTTCCCCTGGAATGTGAATTTTGAACTCTAGTACTTTATCTATCATGAAGACTGGAATTAGTGCTAAAGCCCAAAGGAAAGTTGCAAGGGAGATCAAGACAGCCCGAGCATTTGGATTGTTGCCTTTCACAACGATGGGGACAAAACAATATGTATTTGGGAGAACAATGGAGGATCTCGATGCAGATTTTCAGCTGGACGAGTATAGTATTCCACCTGAAGATATCGTTCAGGATACTGCTGCATGATTCGCCAGTGATAACAATTAAATTTCAGCGTATCCTGAGTATAAGTCAGGACATGATCCCAGTTCAGCAGTGGCGTGTAATTTTGTGCATTCAGGCAAGCTAGTGAAATTATATGATCGTAATGATGCATCATTACTTATTTTCACTTAAATTTCTCCATTATGAATTTCACGGATGGTTACGTGTTCTTCTAGCTCTTTTTGTAGAATATTATTCTCCCTGTTTGATAATGAAGATGAATGCAAACTGTCATTACATCCCCTTGTTATACAAATTCAATGAGCAATATACAATTATTATCTTCTTCCTCCTTTGCCCCCATATGCCACGATCTTTATTTTGCTTTTCTTGGTGTTATTCTTTATATCTATAGAACAATGCTTTCATGTTTCAGTCATCTATTGTACTTCGGCTTGAGCTATTGCTGTTAGTTTCCTAGGTTCATAAGAAGTTATGAGTTTATTGCTTTTTTGTAAGAGCAAAGATATCAAAGAAGACAATTTCTTAGTGTTAAGCAAATCGATTTCTGCCATGTGGTAGTTATTAATATTTAGTGACTACATGCTCTCCCTCACAATTGTCCCCTGTATTGCAGGGGACCAGGCGTGGGTGGAATCGATTAAGCATTCAAAAAGTATTTCGTTGCAATTAATTTGTGACGGAGGGAGTATATAGATGAGGTTTAGCAAATGTGTCTGGGGGTGGGTTGTTGCTTCCGAATACCGGAGTTTACTAGTCAGGTTCTATTGCCTTGACCTGGTTAGAGGGAAAATTAATAGCTGCCTGTGAGTATGTGATGTTTCCAAATTAGCTTGTTTATTCTTTACATAAGATAACTATTTAATTAAGCCCTGATCTGCGCACGACATGGTATTCTAACAATGGCAGTTATAATAAGATACTATTTCAGTATAAAAAATTCAAGATGATAATAATTTTAAAAGAATTCGTGCAGGCCACTTAAGACTCTCCTCCCTCAAACATCCAGTTAATTATCATATTATGTCCAGCTACTTGTTAATTTTTGGTCAATTCTATTGTTAAATTGAAATTTATATCTAAAATCTTTAGTCCAACTTGATTCTGCAAACTCCCATCAATGTTAGGATACAAGAAAACAATTAAAATAAAATGAAATGAAATTTAACCTTTAGCTGTCTGGTATTCTTCTGTCAGATTTGAGATTTTATTCTTCACCTCTGTTGTTAATTTTTGAAATGGGTCTGCATTCATCCCTTTCGTTTTCTGTATTACTTGTCCGATCATTCTTCTTCTACTTGCTTCCATGCCTACAATCTATTTTTCCTTGAAACTCTTTCCATGAAGAAGAAAGCCATCTATTTTTCTCTTGTCAGAAGATGTCAATTGCTTCCTGTTCTCTTAACTCTCTTTTTCCTTCTCAATTGCACCATAGTCAGGGGCCTTGGCTCCTCCTCCACCATTGCTGCCATACATGGTTTTAACACCGTTTGTGGCATACTTGTGGGGAAATCGCAGGGGATCCAATGTTTTCAGCAGGGTAGAGTGTTTTCTGCCCTGCCAAACATCTCCTACGAAGCCATATCTGGTGGGCGTGATTTCTTCTGTGCCCTCAGTTCTGGTGGTTCCGATCTCTTTTGCTGGGACACAGGGTTTTCCAATTCCAGTATCTTTGGAAAGATAGTTTACCATAATACCCTTTCCCCGCTCACTGATCTAGCAGTTGGGGATGATCAAGTTTGTGCAGTGCAGGCAAGAACAGGCATCATCCAATGTTGGGAAAGAGAAGGAAGACTCCGTCTCCTCTCCCCAGCTTTGCCTCCCGTGGGAGAAACTGATTTCCTTTCCATAACGTCAGGTGATGGGTTTTCCTGTGGAATAGTGAGAGATGAGAGGAATGTCTTGTGTTGGGGTGAAAATGGGATAGGGGACTTTATTGAGAGAGAGTTTGGTAGTCTATCAATGTTGAGTGTAGTTGCTGGGAAATCTCATGTTTGTGGGGTTGCTTATTCTGGTTTATTAATTTGTAAAGGACTTAATGATTCAGGCCAACTTGATGTCCCTTCAGAAAAACCTTTCCACTTTTTGGAGCTTGCTCTTAGTGGGACTTACTCATGTGCCTTGCAAAGGAACAATGGCTCGGTCATCTGCTGGGGCAATGGAGGAAATACATCTGCTATCACCGACCAGAAGATTCAGAAGCTCTCGTTTGAGTCAATCATTTCTGGTTTAGATTACACCTGTGGTCTGAGATCTGACAATTTTACTGTAAACTGCTGGGGTCCTGGCTGGTCTGGTAAGCTTGATACTTCGCTTTCCCTGCCAAGTATGATTCCTGGTAAATGTGTCAGAGAATCTTGTCAACTTTGTGGTGTTTATCCGGGTTCAGAGGCACTCTGTAGTGGTGATACAATTATTTGCAGATCATGCGTGATTGAGCTTCCATTTCCATTAAATTCCAGAATAAATGTAGAGGTAGGAAATGTTTCTCAGCCTGTATCATCACCAGTTGCAATTTCACCCTCATATTCAGTTTTATCGTCACCATCAAATAAGGAAAAACACCGGCCTCTCTGGGCATACGAGATATTTGGGTTTGTTGGTATCATTTCTGGAATATTTGCCTTTGCTTACTTCATATACCTTAAAAGATTAGGTTGCTCAAAAGATAGGAAGGATCGAGATGTTGTGAAGGATAAAGAGCTTAATTCTATTGGGAGTAGCAATGCTGCTGATTCAGCTTTTGTAGCAAGTAATGCTTCTAGTGCACCTCAGTCAAGATCATCATCAATCACACAGCTCAGTTCTATGGCCTTGGGGCGTACTAGGAGCTGGGATAATTCGTCAAAGCACGTGGAGAAGGCAGAGGTGTTCACCCTAAGTGAGCTTGCTGCTGCTACAAAAAATTTCTCCTTGGAGAATAAGATTGGAAGAGGGAGTTTTGGGACTGTCTATAAAGGAAAACTCTCTAGTGCTGGCTGTGAAGTGGCCATTAAGAGGGAAGAAATCTGCGCAAGAAGCAAGAGAGGATATGCTTTTGAGTCAGAACTGATGCTCTTAACTCGGGTTCACCACAAGCATTTGGTGGGTCTAGTCGGGTTTTGTGAAGAGCAAAACGAGAGGTTACTGGTTTACAAATATATGACTAATGGAGCGCTGCATGATCATTTGCATAGCTACAGCGCTCAGAAAAGTAGCAGCCCCTTGAATTCCTGGAGGATGAGAATCAAGATTGCTTTAGATGCTGCAAGAGGGATTGAGTACCTTCATAACTATGCAGTCCCACCCATAATTCATCGGGATATAAAGAGTTCAAACATTCTTCTTGATGCAAACTGGGTTGGCAGAGTATCCGATTTTGGCTTGTCATTGAAGGGTCCTGAGAATGAGGAAGGGAGTATGTCGATTAAACCAGTCGGGACTGTTGGGTATATCGATCCTGAGTACTATGTTTTAAAGGTTTTGACAACTAAGAGTGATGTTTATGGATTTGGGGTGGTTTTGTTGGAACTGTTGACGGGAAAGAAGGCCGTATTCAAGGAAGGTGAAAAAAGTGGACCCACTGGTGTGGTGGAGTATGCAGGCCCCTTCATTGTGGCTGGGGAAGTCTGGAAGGTGTTGGATAAACGGGTGGAAATGCCAGTAATGAACGAGTCTGAGGCCGTTGAGCTTCTGGCATACACTGCGATGATGTGCGTAAATCTAGAGGGGAAAGAGAGGCCAACAATGTCTGATGTAGTTTCCAACTTGGAGAGGGCCTTAACACTTTGTAAAGGCAGCTCTGGTACCTTCTCTCCCAACTTTTATTCTTTCAGTGAAATAATAGGCTAAGCAGCTAATATTGCCTGCATTTTTTTTCTTTCCTGTCAAATTTCTAGTACTTTTTGCTATTTGATTTAGTGTTGTCCCTTCTTAGCTACTGAATTAGTGTAAATGAAGAATTTTAGTGGAGTTTAATTATTGAAGGGAACCTTGCTTGAGTGGAGTGTGATTGTATATCTAAGCTTGATGCATATTTAAGACTGGATTCCAGTATTTTTGAACTTTATGAATCAAAAATTCATTATTTTCCAAAATATGTTCCGTTTAAAACTAGTTGTTCTATTGTCCTAACCTCTTATAATTTAGGATATGACATGAATTTACAAAATACAATCTATTGGCTTTGTTACTTTCTAAGGGCAGGCTAGCAAAGCCTGTTGTAAATCCTTTCTATAGCTCTATTGAGACATCTTAAAAATAGCATAAGAATAATGTGATTATTAGTTCCGGACTGAGTGGGTATATTGTTTATGGATGGATATTCCGCCATTCATGGCAATGATCGCGCTCTTACCCTTCCACATAGTCAATCTTACAAGGAAGCATGTCTACACTGCTTCGTTCTAGGGAAGTCAATCATAGAGCTTAGGCTCAAAGTGACCAGCTGATCATAGACTCATAATCTATACACTGGAAAACATCTTTGTTGAGGCAAAGTTGTCAACTTTTGTTTTTTTTATTATTTTTATTTATACAACATAATTTAGATGATACTGAGTCTGAGGGTTAAACTTTCAAGGGCGGACTAGCTGGATTTGAGAGGAGTTAAATTGTAGATAATCTGAACAAACTATGCTTATTTTCTGCTGAAAACTCATTGAAGATGCTTCTGTTAGATCGGATCATCAGTAATGATACGCGCTGTTAGTTAAACTCAAAGCGCATAAGAAGTCTTGCATTTTTGTGAAGTTTCCCCTTCTTGTCATACAATGGAACAGACCTGATTCCACTTCTGAGTAGCCATACTGGCAAACAAGTTTGCCCTCCAAAGTCATGAGTCCTGTCGGTGTCGAATTCTTTGACCTCTATCAGCAGCATTGCTAATTCAGGTACAGTTAAGGGGAACTTGAACTCTTGATTCCATACCGGAACCCACTGATCCATGATTGGTACTGTTTTTTCTCTTGCCTCGTCTACTGGGACTCCCACAATTTCAACCTGGGAAAGAAAGAGTGATTAAAGAAGTACAAAATTCAGTCATGTCATTATTCTAAGCATGTTAACTGTAATGGGATGCAAAAATGCAAATACTCAGTAGAACATTTGGTTAGACTAACTGCTGTGAAGAAATCTGGTGGGGAATTATCACTTTCAAAGTCTTTCTCTTCACTGTCGAAGTCCAAATGCCAGCCAGTACCCAAATATACCTTTACCTGTACATTAACAAAACGAGGAAAGCAAATAAACATCAAAATCTACATAGTTAGAAATCTTGTTTGGATGCAAATTTTTATCTGTGGTTATATAATGAATATGAACTCACCTTTAAAATCGTTTTAACAGGACGCCATTCTGTAGGATCGAAAATCTTATTATTCAGCAAGATCTCTGGCTTTTTAACATAGCCAGTAGGCTTTTTACTGTCTTGGCCGAGTTGTGCCCTAAACAACCCTTGCATTACCCATAAATGCTTGTCAAAATCCTGTTTCAAAATATTGTCAAAAAAGAATCAGATTGACAAGTACGCAAAGATAAAGTTCTGGTTGGGGATAGTTGAATATTTCACACAAAGGGTCTTCCATGAATGTAAGTGTTTATACAGAAATTTACCTGTGGATTGATTGCGACCATCTGAGCCCCGCGTGTCCAGCCAATAAGAGGGTCAAAATTTTTAGTGAAAACTGCTGGATCATCGGAGTTGGGATAAACTGCCAGTAGTTCCTTCTGGGTTAAACTAGTTTTTATTTGATCTGAAAGACTGAACACCAACTTATGATTTGAATCGAATGAACATAAACAGATTCCCATGTAAATACCCTGTTTCCACCTCTACTCAAAATTCAGAAATTATATAACATAAATTCTGTTGATTAAAAAAAAAAAAAAAAAAACCCCTCTGTTACATTACTGATGTCAAGTCATTTAGATAAAAATGCAGCAGCAGCAGAATAAATCCTACAGTCAACAGTTGTGTATTTTGCTAACCTGGTATACTCAGTACTAATAGCAGATTCTATCTCGTTTTCTGTCAATCTCAAAATCCCTTTATTGTTTTCTGGCTTCTTATTGTAATTATAAATATAGCCTTTTTTGTCCTGCAAAATCAATTGTATTAGGCTTTAGGCTTATTAAGAGCTTGAGGAAAGTTTTCAAATTTATGCTGTTATAACTTGAACAACTTTAAGTTCAGGCTTACCTTCGTGTTTGTTGGTGACGGTTCATGTTTCACCTGCTTTCTAGTTAAAATTATAAACTTTTGTTTCAGAGAATCTAGAGTCGCATTCAAAGCTTCATCTAGATCACACAAGCTATGTTTTTTGCCAAATTTGTCGATCCGCTGCAAGAATAAGGTGGCTTTGTAATTATTTCGTTTAGAAAAGAAGAGGATGGAAAGTTGTAATTTAATGGAAAAAAAGGATTCAACGTTTTAAAATATACGAGCAAATTCTATCTGACATGATAACTAACCTCTTTTATCGCTTTCTGGAGATCATCTGATGGATCTGATTCAAATTGCTGCACTAGAATTATTATGAGGGGGAATTCAGAAGTAACAAATGCATTTTCACTGATAGTCTCCAAACAATTTTCAACTGTGATTGAAGAAGAATGTGGTTGGCGCTGTATCCTGTCATATGTTGTTTGAGCTTAATATTCCAGTTGAATACAAGAGAACAGTAAACTAAATTATAGCCAAAATAAAGAAGTAAAATGATGCAGAAACAAAACAACAGCTGCAGAACAACAAGTATACCTCGGATGAGAAACATTAATGCCTTTCTTATCCGAGTTGAGCCACACATCCAATTCAATAACTCTGATATCCATCAACAAAGCCTTTTTGATTGCTGTGATACTGTTACGGAATTTCTCCTGCTCTTTTTTATCTTTGTTGTTACTAGGCTCACCATCACCAGCCGAATTGGACTTTGATCCTCCCCTGTGGTATTTCCGGGGAAAAGAAAGCATAGTGATCGTCTTTAAATCTTCTGCTGCAGATTTGATAGGATTCTTGCTCTTGTTCCGTTTCAAGTAGGAACCATGGCTTGTGTATACAAAATAATGCACAAACTTAGCTTTCTCATCAAACTCCTGCGTTTTCAGTCTCAGAAATTAGCAGGCTTTCTAAGTACACAGATGAACTAATTTAACTTGCTAACTAGATACATACAGTAAGTAATCATACCTTTTTAACTAAGGGATGATTTTTGCTGCTGAGAAGATATGCAAAGAAGCCCTTCCTACTGAGACTGGTTCTACGACAGTTGGCAAATCCCTTGAATTTTCTTGAGGCTACGATTTTTTGTGCACGCTTTACAGCATCCTTCTTTGCCACATCTTGATGTTTCTCGAGATATTCAGCCAGCTTAGGTATTCGTATTTTATCACTATCATGTTCTTTGTATTCGTTGAACAAATTTGTCACATCATCTGGAGGTGATGAGGGCCAATGACTCTTAAACCAACGTCTGTAGCAATAATTTAATTTTCCATAAATTTCCGACATGATGTCTTATTTTCAAGAAGACAGTGGAGAACGAATTGGAAGAGAATTGATTATATTACGGTTTAAGAAACTTTAATGTTTGCAGAATAAGATAACTGAAGGACATTTTTTTTATAAGGTTGAAGTTAAAGTATGGTTGAAGAGAGGGTGTATGTAAATGTGTTTCATGCATGCTGTGTAGAATTTCACCTTAGTAAGTTAAAGTAAGAATATATACCTGCTCTTTACTTTGTAAACTATTGTCAAAGTGATCAATAAGCTTTGGTTACTTCTCTCAAACTTGTCATGTATTTGTTAGATTTGAGAAACGGAGTATCTGGAAATAAAAGAACATTTAGCCAGAATTTATTAGACGTGAGTAGAGGGTGAACGAAAGTGAAAAAAAGTTGACAGTTTTGAGAGGGTATAAGTGTTTTCTTCTAATTTAGTTATCCCACAGAAGAAGTGGGTATGAATTAAAGAATTAGCATATTTTTCATGGTGATTTTCAACTTTATGCAAAAAAAATTGCATTCCTTTATGTTGTTTCCTGTAGAGTAAAAACTATGCAGCCCAAATTTTTTTGCCAAAACTGGAGAATTTGAGCCGAGTTGGTCTAAGATCAACATGATAAGAAGATGCTAATCGTGCCTGAACACACTCCGAAAATATGGCCTGAATAGCAGCCCAAAATCTGCTTGACTCAGGAGTCAGGCCAGTCCATGCTTGATTAGCTTGCCTTTCTGAGTAAAATCACTCTAAAATCCAGCTCAATTTTTGGTAACTAACTTCTGTGTTTTTCTTCCTAATTTCAGAGCCTGTTTTACCTTCAAACTGGTTTGAGAGGTCTATTTCTGCTTGCAACTGACACTTTTAGCCGTTTTCTTGTGAGATGAGAGGAAGTTCTCACTTCTCAGCAATGGAATTACTGTTGCTGAATAAGATTGCAGCAGTCATACATATTTCTAAATGCATGTAAGAGATCTCAGGTAAAATATCTAATACATAAACTTTGATTACTATCATAACTACAGAGAAGGTACAAGTTATAGTAAGTTAGCTTCCTAGAACTGAAAACTCATAAGAAGTTTGACATACTTGTATTTCTCCCCCTTCTTGTTATACAATGGAATTGCTCGGATGCCAGTCTGAAGCTCTGAGACAGGCAGACAAGTTTGCCCGCCAAAGTCATGCCTTCGACTCATGTTATAGTCGCGAACTTCAATTCTCAAGAGGGCTAGTTCAGGAACTGTTAATGGAAACTCGAACTCCTCATTCCATAGAGGGACCCACTGATCTACTATAGGCATTGTCTTCACCTTCTTCTTATCACCGGGGACTCCTAACACGTGAAGCTGTAACCACAAATAAAACACAAATATTCTCATAACAGTTCATTTTTGGCAAATAAATATTAGGCAGTGCATTGCTTCTTGCCTTGACTGCTAATGATTCTGAATGAAGATTTTGTATTAGCTGACCTTAGCAAAGAAATCTGGCGGCGAATACTGGTTAAAATGCTTATGATGGAAATCCAAATGCCATCCATCCCCCATGTATAACTTTACCTGTTCATTAGAGTCTATATAGATTAAGATACTAGATCATATATACTTCAGAAAAACAGAGAAAACGCGGTGTTTCTGTTGATCCTATTAATATTTAAATGACTGCTAGATGAAGCCACAAACCTTTAAAGTTTTCTTGGCTTTTCTTCTTATGCTGGGTTCGAAAACCTCGTTATTAGGACCACAATTCAAAAGGAAGTCAGGTTTTTTCACATAGCCACAACCACCATTTGCTCTAAACATTCCTTGCATCATCCATAGATACTTTCCATATCCCTTACAAGTACACAAGTAGAAATGAATGTAAGGCAGTATTAATCGGTCCTTTTATACTTCTTTCGTACTGAATGCAACTGTTTGAATTGGCAGAAACTAGAAAGTGAAGGTGATAAAATTTAGAGATGTAAACCTGCATATTGAATGCAACCATTTGAGCTCCATGTGCCCAGCCAATGAAAGGATCGTAATTTGAAGATAGAATTCTAGTACCCTTTGGGTATACTCTTAACAAGTTCTTCTGAGTAAATCTGAACAAAGGACAGAAATAGTTACATACTCATTTTGCTGACAGGAGCTATGTATAGAATTCTGAAGAATTAGCGTAAACTGTTTAGGATCATTCTGTTTAGTACATAACTGACATTTCAGAAAATAGAGCAAAGACCAAGTATATTCAGAATTGATGTAACTTGTTTAGGATCATTCTGTTAAGTACATAACAGATATTTCAGAAAATAGATCAATCAAGTATATTCAAAATGCTTCAATTTGGTCTGTGATCATTATTGCAGCCACAGTTTCTATGTTTAGAGACTAAAAATTTCTTCATAAGAGAAAAGACCTATCCTAAAGCATCTTTATGTCTTTTTTGCCTTCTATAGTTATAACACAAAAGGCGAGTACAGGAAAAGTAAATGTATCAAGTCTATTATAACTAACCGGATGATATCAGTTGCACGAGTCCTTACAGCATATTCCAGCTTCTGCTCTTTCAGACTCAAACGGGCAACTCTCTTAGAATCACCTTTAAGTAAGTTTTCCAGGCCACCTTTCCGCTTTACAGCATGAATGGAAATCAACCTCTTATATTCCGGAATGACTGCTTCCTCCTCCTCGTCCTCCTCTTCTTCCATCTTATATTGCTGCCATAGAGGATACTTAAAACATTAAGATAAAAATGTTTTTAAATTATAAACAACCTCTGAATTCTAGTTAAAATACTAACCTGAATCTGTGCATCATCTTTGATACTATGTCTGGATTCACCTGTATCTCCTAATGTAAGTACTGAAATATCATTAAAATCTTTAATCTTATGCTCATTAGGTTCTTCTTCCTTGAGATTGTCACCGGACTCTTTTGGTGGGTTGGTTGATATCAGAATCTTTCTCTTCAAATATTCTGGTGACGGGAATTCTGAAAAATCCATGCCAGGGAAGAGTATGTTTCCAAATGTTTTATTGACCATCTGAATTAAGAAAAAAGGTCCTATTTATAATCAATACAACTGATATTATGCTACAATATAAAAAAAACATTTAGCCTATGTGAATGAACTTTCCTGAGCAACTTTGGCCTGAAGAAAAGAGTCTAAGTGGTCTTCAAATGTAATAATGACAGGATAATCTGAAGCATAGAAGGCATTTTCCTTGATTGCCTCCAAACACTTGATAAGTTCTACAGGAGAAGTCATTGTCCTGTTGATTTCAACAAAGTTTAAGTTCACCAGGAAGTAGCAGAAGCTTATATATACACGAATTCAAGTTTTTTTTGACCCTCAGATATAGTCCTTTTAATCATAGAATGTGACAACGGGTGCATGGTAATACAAGGGTGCCTAATATTCATAATATGGTGTTTGTGGAGGACTTGTGTATTTGAGTATTGAGATAGCATTTTCTGTATTATACTAAGAATTGCGAAAATCTGAACTACTAAGTCTCAAGTATATAAACCAAGTTGGATAGATTTTATGTTAAGTGTACATACATACCCTCCATGGTAAACTTCCACATCGTTCCTTTTCGAGTTGGGCCACAAATCCAGCTCAATGACCCTGACACCGCTTCTTAAGGCTTTAATGATCGGCTCAATGCTGCTCGCGCTGCTGAGCTGATTTCCTGTCAAGTAAGAATTGTGGCCTGTGTAGAGGAAATAGTGAGCCAAAGGAGCATTCATGTCATGGTGCACCTGAGAGGAGCAAAAATTTTACAGGAATGTTCAGAAATTCAGAACAAGCCACAGTATTATGTCAGAGAATTTTTGAACAGAAGATGAAAAGTATTTTGACAAAAAACTTTTGGTAACAAAATTATTACAGACAGAATTTGTAAACAGCAACTTTTTCACAAAGTAAAATTCATTAAATCCATCAATTAAAGGGTAGTAAATCTTGTAATTTCCTGTATTTGCAAAAAACTGGTTGAACTAAAGGTGTTACTTACCCCAAGAGGTGCAAGAGGAGGATTAAGATCCCCAAAAAGATATCGAAAGAAGGCATCAAGGTTAAGGCCTCGCCTGTGGAAGACATGGTGATGTTTCAGACTGTTGAAAATAGCTTGAGCATGTTCAAGAGTTGCCTTCTCTTCCCCTTGAAAATCTACCAAAAATTTATGCAGGATTTCGACAGTCATCACTCCATTGTCAGAGTACTCGTTGAACAAGTTCACAACATCCTCTGGAGGCTCTGCCATCCTTAGCTTGAACATACGCCGGTAACAGAAACAGAACTCATATGCCTGTTTAGACATTTTTGTCTGATAGATTTTGTTTCGCAATTGATCCTTTGATCTAAGAAGTTGCCTTACATGAATTAAAGGAGCGATAGAGATTAGCTGCTTTCCATTAAAAAGATGAAGATAGAGATTTGTTCCTGATATTCTGCAAGAATCTCAAAACTCTTTAGCTAATAGTACTTCTGCATTAATTTTTTCTTATGGAATTTCCTTTTGCCAAAGTGGGAATAAATTCTCTTGTTGTTTACACTTCTTTTGGTATTGTATATTATTGTCAGTCTTCACGTTTTCCTTTTAAATAAAATACAATAAAAACACAAAGGAAAGTCTCAATTATCAGTAACAAAAATGTTAATTTATGCCTTTTTCTCACTCTATCAGTATTTTTTATCAATCCCTCCTCAATTTAGCCAAAACAATCAAGCCAAGTATATTCGATTTTATATTAAATTTGTATATTTTCATCTATATATACAGAATTATTGGCATTTTACAAATAAAAATAAAGTGAATGTGGTTCAAAGAACATACATAGCAGGAAGCTGTAGTAATTATGAAAAGATTATATAAATTACAGTCAGTTAACTATATTGGTAACAATTGAAATCGCATGAGAAGCTTAATGTGATCATATTTCTGTCCTTTTTTTCCAAACAACGGAACAGCTCGGATGCCACTCTGTAACTCCAAGACTGGCAAGCAAGTCTGGCCTCCAAAGGCATGCCTTCCATCTAAGTCGTGTTCACGAACTTCAATTCTTAGGAGTGCAAGTTCAGGTGCTGTCAAGGGGAATTCAAATTCCTTGTTCCACATTGGCACCCATTGATCCTCGATAGGCCTTGTTTTATCCTTCTTTATGTCTGCTGGGACTCCACAAATTGCAACCTACACAGAAAACAGCACAAAACTGTAAGTGCAAATGACAAGGTATGTATATACTACCTCCGTTTCATATTATTTGCAATGATTAGACGTTTTTCCTCTCTACTTTATATCAAGTAGTTGCAAATAATATGAAAGAGAGGTAGTATGTATGTTGGTATGTATGTATGATCAGTGACCAGGATAAAACAATTGGTTATTTTCTGACCTTAGTAAAGAAATCAGGTGGAGAAAATGGATCAAAGTGTGTTCGGCGAAATTCCAAATGCCATCCATACCCCATATATAGTTTTATCTGTACATTGAAGATTATTAGGCTTCATGAACTAATTTTGGTAAGGTGAAGTAAACAAAATCAAAGTTTTGTATGTAATCCTAGTTCTGCTAGACAATGCTAACTGATGAAAGCTAGACCTTTAAAATCATCTTGAGTGGTCTTTCAATAATGTTGGGATTAAAGGGCTCATCACTTAACAAGAAATCTGGCTTCCTCACGTAACCACAGTTTCCATTAGCTCTAAACATCCCTTGCATAATCCAAAGGTATTTTCCATAACCCTGTCGAAACAAGAGGAAAGTAATTAATCAGCATTAGGCTGACTCATTAAGTCTTGTACTGGAAAAAACTATAGATTTCCAAGTTACCTGCATGTTGAATGCTACCATTTGAGCTCCGTGTGTCCATCCAATAAAAGGGTCATAATTTGAAGAAAAAAAGCGTGTTCCTTTTGGATATATCCTGAGTAGGTTCCTCTGAGTAAACCTGAGGTGGGTTGCCTTTGGTGAGGAAACACCGAAACATGTATCTATTATCTAACAATTAGTCTTCAACATCTCATAGACTCGTACCAAGTGGCTGTGCATAAGTCATTGAGCTAACTAGTATAGTCTTACAGGACTTTCTGCTTTATATCATACCCATACTTATACCAATCATGATAATTTTGAAAACTAACAACGAAAAAACAGGAAACTGTCTTTTCTGGTTTCTAAAAACAATTTAAGTTTTCTAAGAACCTCAAATTTAGCAACTATGACAAATAAATTAAACCTGTTTGAATTACTTACTTGACAATGTCACTTGCATAAGTTTTCACAGCATTTATCAACTTCTCCTCGCTCATACTCAACCGAGCAACTCTCTGAGTATGTTCATTCAAAAGCTTTTTCAGTCCATCATCATCTCCATGTTTCAGTTTGACAGCATGAATAGCAATCAAATGCATATACTCAGGAACAGCGGTATCCTCTTCACATTCTTCTTCATTGTCCTGTTAGTATTTATTACAGATGTCAAGATTGTTTAGGGAAACAAAAAGTAAAGCTGAATATGAGGAAATTCATAGTTTTAATGCTATCAAGATAAACCTTGATTGTTATATCTTCAAGTTCATCATTATGTTCTTGTTGGATGATGCTATCAAGTGAGATTTTCGGCGGCTTGGTTGATATCAGTATCTTTTCCTTCAACTGTTCAGGTGAAGGGAATGCAACAAATTCCAATCCAGGATACAACATTGCTCCAAAAATATCACTGACCATCTGAATTCAATAAAATATATAGAAGAGTTAATATCAGGCATAAATCCAATAGATTATATAGGAAAATGTATTATGTTTTAGGAACTCTCCTTGGCCACTTTAGCTTGAAGAAAAGAAGTCAAGTGATCTTCAAAAGTAATGATGACAGGGTATTTCGAGGCAACGAAAGCATTTTCTTTGATTGCTTGCAAACATTTGTGGAGTTTGACAGGAGAAGTCATTGTCCTGCAAGTATGAAAATTTCAAATTAAGCAAACTATGTAACACTTTGTTCCTTTTACAAATGTTAAGGTATGAATCTTAGAAGCATAATACTACCCTCCATGAAAAACTTCGATATCATTTTTGTTATTCTTGCTAGGCCATAAATCTAGCTCGATGACCCTGACACCACTTAATAAGGCCTTGATGATCGGCTTAATGCTGCTCTTGCTGCTGAGTTGATTTCCTGTCAAATAGGAATTATGGCCTGTGTATAAGAAGTAATGAGCCAGAGGTTCATTCATGTTCTGGTGCACAACCTGTAGTACCCAATTTTAAGTAAGCGCGATTATGCTTTGTCCAAAAAATGTAAGACAGAAATATACTGCATCACTGATAATATTACAGTTTATGTACGATTATATCAAGTAGCTAGGTAGATCATAAAAAAGAGTGTAAGAACTTTGAAAAGATTATTACCCTAGGGTGTGCAAGAGGAGGATTTAGGTCCCCGGAAAGATATTGGAAGAAGGCGTCAAGGTTAAGACTTCTCCTCAGGAAAACATGATGATGCTTGATACTATTGAATATATCTTGAGCACTTTCAATAGTGTGATGTTCTCCTTGATAATCATTCAAAAACTGGTGCAGTTTTTCAACTGTCATCGCCCCTTTGTCAGAGTACTCGTCGAACAAGTTCTTGATATCTGTTGGAGGTTCTGCCATTCTTAGCTTAAACATACGCCGGAAGCAGAAACAGAACTTGTATGACTGCTTAGGTTTATTTAACTGATCAGCTGTTGGTGTGAACAACTTTTTCATGGTATTCATTTTTGTAACAGTCTATTCATCTGGTTTATCTTTCTGACATATTGTACTTAGGTAAAATATATAGGAAGTGAAAAGAATACTTGTTGGTTAATTAAAATATTGTGCTTTGGAGTTGCCTCTTGCCAAAGTTAGAATATATACTCAAGACATCCTCTAATATAATTTATCCTTTTATTCAGCTAACATAGTGCTAACAACATAGTTATACATGTACTGCATCAATACATGAAGCTTTTATCTTAGAATTTGTAGGCTGAAAGAGATGAATTGTTGGAAAAGTACAGTACACTTTGGCATTGTTTGGCGATTCATTTGATTCATTTTATTATATAGATTTTTAGCTTTGGCTTTTCAAGGCGGTCAAATAGACAAAGAAAGTAATACAACATATTATATATATTAATAGAACGGAGGAAGTAGTATTGTTCTAGCTTTTGATTTGCTTGCTCAAGAGTTGGAGATTCTGCTCACAAAACAGCTCATCGACAATATTGGTCCAGACAACTAACTATATTGGTCGATCAAACAAGTCAAGTGAACCAGCCTAACAACTGAATCTTGATTGATAAAACAAAACCTTTATTTATTGCTCATTTTTCAGTATTTACTATTTAGTTTGATAAACCCCAGAATAAAGCCAAAATTTTTGCACATACAACAAAACTCCAAGGAGATCAAAAAGGTACATGTTCACAGATGATACATACATAAGGACACCATCTCATGAACAAAGTACTAACAGTATAAGTATATTTACGCGAATATAAACTGCATCAAAAGCTTAACCGAAGCATATTTCTCTCCTTTGTAATCATAAAGGGGGACTGCATGAATTCCTGGTTTCAGTTCTCTGACAGGCAAGCAAGTTTGCCCACCAAAATCATCCTTATCAGTTGTATCATATTCATGAACTTCAATTCTCAGCAAAGCCAGTTCAGGGATTTTTAAAGGGAAACTGAATTCTTCGTTCCAAGCCGGTCTCCAATGATCCTCTTTCACCTTTGTTTTCTTCATCAGTTTATCTGCTGGCGACCCTGCTATTCCCACCTGTAAATTACTCCTAGAATTTTACTCAAAGTTTCATAGCAAGCTAAAGTTATACAATACAATATATAACATAAAGTGGTTAATATTCTTAATAATAAGGTTTGGTTTACCTTAACATAGAAATCTGGTGGTGAAAATGTGTCAAAATGAGTTTGTCTGAAATCTTCACGCCACCCATCTCCAATGTATACTTTCACCTAAACAATCCACATATTTCTTTCTTTCAGATGAAGTGCATTTTAGATACTTATTAATGATAGTAAATCGAGTTTATTTAGTGATTAAGTCACCTTTAATGTTGTCTTGATTGATAAATCTGCTTTTGGATCAAAAACTTGGTCATCAGGACCAAAATTCAACAGAAAATCAGGCTTTTTTACATAACCACAGCTTCCATTGGCTCTAAACATCCCATGCATCAACCAAAGTTGTTTCCCATGACCCTGTCAACATACGCGATTGATTAACTTGTTAAGTACATTATTAACTAGTCAACAAACCAGCAAAGATGCTAATTAGCTAGATAATTGATTTGCTGTTTATATACCAAAACATTACTAATAAGTTGTATGTTAGGACAGTTAACCTGCATGTTAAACGCAACCATTTGAGCTCCATACATCCAACCAAGAATAGGCTCGTAATTGGAAGAGTTGAACCGCGTAACCTTAGGAAAAATCCTCAGAATATTTTTCTGGGTGTACCTGCAGATTAATGAACACCATACACATTCATACATTGATACAAGATTTACAGGACAAACACTAGTATAAAAAAAAATACTACAGTTCTAAGACAAACCAATGAACCATGATCATTAGGCCACATATCACATGGCTCAGTTAATCAGTTTGACCTCAGCCCAACCCTTTTAATTGTCTATCATAACACATGTGACTTGCTTGAGGCATTTGCAAAGTCTATACATTTTGAGCCAGACATGAACTGGCCCACTTAAGACCAATCAAATAAATTTTCCTTTTACAGAAAAATTGGATAAACACAAGTAGTTTTTTTTCTAATACTAGGTTCGTTACACATTAGTTGCAACTTTGGAATATTTTATGTAACGGAGGTAGTAAAATTACTTTACAATAAAAAGTGATGAGGTACCTTATGATATGAGTTCCATGAGAAGTGGTTGCCTTGGCTAGAAGTTGCTCACTCCAACTCAAACGGCTCACCTTAATAGGATCCACCTTAAGAGACTCCTTCAATTCACCCCTCTTTATACCCGGAATCGTTATCATTCTCTTATACTCGGCCGGTCTTTCTTGCAACGAAGGGTCGTCATATTCACACACTTCTTGTTCAACATTTCCATTTGCACTTTTCTCATCATTATTGGCCTGTTAGAAACAAAAAATCATCAGCAACTACTAAATAAAATTATCATTAAAACATACAAACATCAAAATTAGAATTATTTACTTAAAATAAAACCTTATACTCTTGTTCTTCAATAGAAGGCTGCTTCTTTTGAGATCCGCTACCATTACTATTTTTGGCATTTTCGGCCGTAAGATACTCCTTGGGTGGTTTAGTTGATACAAGAACCTTATACTTCAATTCTTCAGGGGAAGGGAAATCCTTCAAAATTTCAGTTTCGGGGTAGAACAACATATCCTCAAAAACTTCAATAATCATCTTCAAATTCAAACCATAAATAATCAATATATACTTGATTAATAAATTAATAAACTCATTTAAATCCATAAAAATTACACATATACTTAAATGTACATACTTGTGCTACTTTAGCTTGTAGAGTTGGATTAAGATGATCCTCGAGAGTCAAAATCACAGGATAAGGAGATGCACAAAATGCATATTCTTTTATGGATTTCAGACATTTGAGCAGATCCACTGGAGTTGTAAGAGTCCTTTAACAAAAAAAAAAAAAAAAAAAAAAAGTTAAATCAAACCAAAAAAGAAATGAACAACAAAAAAAAGGAAGGTTATTAATATGATTGCATACTTTCCATGCAAAACATGAACATCTTGTTTGTTAGGAGTAGGCCAAAGATCAAGCTCTATAACCCTTACACCTCTCTGTAATGCTTGAATGATCGGAACATCGCTACAATCGCTACTGATTTGATTGCCTGTCAAATATGAATTATGACCTGTGTATATGAAATAATGGGATATTGGAGCGTTCATATCTTGATGAACCTTCAACATTTCCCAAAAAAAAAAAGTCAAAATCACTTTCACAATGGTAAAATTATAGATAGCAACTTGTTATATTAATAACATGAATGATTAGTAAGAACTAACCTGGGGATTAATAGGCGGATTAAGATCAGTCGAGAAAAGATAAGAGAAAAACTCATCAAGACTAAGAGTTTTTCTAGCAGTGTTACTAAAAATAGGCATGTGAGGGTGTTTTCTTCTTGACTTGATCTCTTCAATGATGTTCTCTGCATCGGTTAATGTGGTCGTCTTGGATTCACCTTGCACCTCGATCATCAACTTCTGGAGGTGTTCCGCCGTCATGTGGGGCCCACATTCGGCGTATTTGTCAAATAGATGTTTGATATCAGTAGGCGGCTGTAACTCCGCCTTCACAAATTTTCTGGTAAAACACCCAAATATCTTGAAACTCTCCATTTCTTTCTTTACCAACAACAAAAACAAAGAAGGTGAGATCCTCTGTTTTAATAACAGGGGAAACAGACCATATATGTTGCCTTTCACAACACAAGTAAATTCCTTTATATTTGCTAGCTGTTGACTAGACATACAAAAGCACACTTTCACACAAGTAGTATTTATGTTCAATCTTTGAAAAATATGTACTTGTACCTATTGAGTACGTGCACGTTACTTATTGCATTGGTATTTACTCCGTAACTAGATACAATGTAATCGGAAAAACAGTGAGTAAATATGACAAAAAAAAAATTTAAAAATAATACACATATTACAAAAAGGACTTGTAAGATAATATAGAATATTGGTTGACTAGAGAATAGTTTAAAATTAAGGGTAGCTAATAGCTGTTGAATGTTGCTAAATTATTGCATAGTTATAATTTCTTTTTTTAACTTGTAGTTGATTGGTTAGTTGTAAATATAATCCACTTAATTTTATAAAAATTGTGTTGATAAGTATATTAGGTGACTCGTACTTCGTAGCTTTGTCCGCCCGATCGGGCGGACATTGCCCGGTCTGACCGGGCGGAAGAAGAAGAGGTGCCTGGCAAATTCGTTGAAGAAGCTGCTCTCGCGCCCGACCGGGCGAGCCTTCGCCCGACCGGGCGAGCCTTCGCCCGACCGGGCGAGCCTTCGCCCGATCGGGCAGACCTTGCCCGGTCTGACCGGGCGGTGGGGGTTGGATACGTTGAAGCATTCGTATGGAGTTTTCTTCTCGCGCCCGATCGGGCAGACCTTGCCCGGTCTGACCGGGCGGAGAAGGAAAAATACGGAACGCGGATTTTGCGGTTTTAGGTTATCTTATTTTATTATCTTTTTGCCCAAGTATCTTTTAATTAGGGATTAATATAAAACCTCCCTAATATCAGTATTAGGGTTAAGAGAGACAGAGTGAAAGCCGTTCTTGAGAAATACAAGAATCATCTTTGTAATCTTTGCAGTTTATAGTGAAATCATTCGATCTCGGTGCCCGTGGACGTAGCTATCACATCGATAGTGAACCACGTAAATTCTTGGTGTTGTTCTTATTGTTTGCATTGAATTTCTTTATTGTTTTCTTGTTTGTTTACGACCTTTGCTTCCGCTGTCGCACAACAATTGGTATCAGAGCTCAGGTTCAATCCTTGGAGAGTTTCTTGAAGATAACAATGGCAGGAGATTCAACAATAAGAATTGAGAAGTTTACCGGGAAAAATAGTTTCGGGTTATGGCAAATTAAGATGAAGGCTCTGTTAAAACAACAGCAGATATGGCGTCCGTTGGCTCCAAAGAGTACTACTTCGGAGTCAGGAGACGGACCGACTGACTCGCAGTTAGAAGTTA